GTTCTCAGCAGACTACTTCAACCAGGAGAGAGGTTCTGAGTGAGGAAGCCTTTAGCATGGTGGTGCTATGAGTAGCCCTGGGGGGTGCCCAGCAGGTAAGTCTCGGCTCAAGGGAAGAGCCAGGCTAGACAGAGATTCTGGGGTCATTTGCCTCTGGAGGTCAAATGAAGCCAGACGAATAGGTGAGATTGAGAGGTCTGCAGTGCAAGAAGAATGGCTATTCCAGGAGTGGAGAGGGATGGAGAGGCAGGATAAAGAAGAGTACTGGAGGGGGTGAACTCAAGTATGAAATATCTGATATATGAACTTTTATAAATGCCACAATGTACCCCCACCCAGCACAACAATTAAAAAATTAAAAACTAAAAATATGTTTATATAAAAGAAAGAATAAATGAAATTAAAGTGGAAAGAAAGAAGAAAAAGAAGAAAAAAGGAGGAGGACAAGGAAGAGGGGGAAGAAGAGGAAGGGGAGGAGGAGGGGGAGGAGGAAGAGGAGGGGGAGGAGGGGGAGGAGGGGGAAAAGGAGGAGGAAGAGGAGGAAGAGGAAGAGGAAGAGGAAGAACGGGACCAGAGAAAGAGCGCTGGGATCTGGAGACCCACAGAAACGCATGCTAAGAAAGACAGGTGAAAGAGAGAGGAGGAAAACCCAGCAACCAGGGTACTGTGGAAGCCAAGGACAACAATGTATATTAAGAACCTGAGCAACCCTGTTCCACTGCTGCAGAAAGTTATGAAGGATGAATGTCCAAGAATTTAAAAGCCAGGGCCAGACGGTGACCTGGGGTGAATTAGGAAAAGGTACTCTTCCTCAAGGTAATTAACTTCTATCAGAAAACTACTGTAACACACTGATTTTATTAGAACAAAACACTTTACTGCCATCTGTGGGAAAATTATTACAATAAATAATAAATATAGTTGTCTTAGATGTGGTGTCTGAGCACAGCTGCCCTTGTTATTTGTGATAGTGTTAAAAACAGGTTTCAGGGAACAGAATGAAATTTACCAGGGAGATAACACAGGACCAACTAAAGGTGGCTTGAACAGTAGGAATTTATGATCCTGCTTCACAGGACATCTGGTCTGGAGGTAGAACAATTCCAGGCTTGGTTCTTTCTCTATATCTTCATCAAGGACCAGCTCCTTCTCATCCATTCTGCCATCCTCTGTGTGTCAGCTTTCTTCCCTAGACTTGTTCCCTAATGATCATAAGACGGAAGCCACAGCTCCAGTCATTACATTTTTCCTCAAGATTAAGAGGCAGAAGATGAAGATGTGTCTCCTTGTGTGCCTATTTACTGGGGAGAAATCCTTCCTAGAAATGTCTCAATCTTACACTCCCCTCAGCCCACCACCTTCCTTTCAGCTCTCATTGACCATAACAAAATGACATGCCTCTTCCTAAAGCAGTCACTAGCAAGTGTCATGGCTTTCCTCTGACTTGTTTGATAATAGGGAGTGGAGGAGTAAGGGTGAGGTGAGGATGTGGAGTAGAAAAGATGGTTTCTAGAACTTTGTCAAGGGAAGAGAGAGACCCTAACTACAGAGGGACATGGAAGGCAGGAAGGACATTTTGTCTGTGCCCTCTACATATTTGAACTTGTCTAAAATTTACTTGATGAATGGTACCACCATCTGACCACTCATAAATCTAGACAATTGGAAACCATGTGGAAATAAGTTCCCCTCCCATCTGCACCAAGCCCTGAGCCAGTCCTCAAGTCCTGTCAAGTCCGACTCTTCAGGATCTCTACGCCAGGTTATATCAACAACACACTGACATTTCAGATTGGTTCATTCTTTGCTGGGGACCAGGGAGGGCAGAAGTACCACCATGAATGGAATGTTCCTCAGCACTTCAAGTACCAAGAACATTAAGATGCCACCCCAAGAACAGCAAAAGAACCACAAAGAGTAGAAAGATAGCAATGGATAATTTACTAGTAACCAGACATGAAGCACGCGGTGTGAATAAGAAGCTGTCAGGGTGTGGGTTTTTATTAATAGGGTAGGGGGGTCACTGGGTGGTGCAAAATAGGGACCCTCCTAATGCAGCACTTCCCAAAGGATTTGGCAACTACGCAGTGGCTTTCGGATATGGAAGTCATATGTGTAAGCATTTGAGAAGGTGAGGGCAAGTGCCTGCACATTTGATGGGTTTTGCCCTTCCCAGTTTAGGGCTACCAGTGGAGGGTCATATGATTGTCACTGTGCTCCTGCCCCTCAAGACATAGGCAAAGGCTTGATATGGGGAGTGTGCTGGATAAGGAGGCTATAGGGCCATTATCTTAATTGCAGGGTCAGGGTGTGGGGCCATCTGGGATTTTGTGATTCTGCCTCCTCTAAAGGAGAATGGGGTCTTGTAGCTTGGGACATTCCCTCATTCCTATTCCTGTCTACCTAGCTGTCCCATGATTTGGGATGTTTAGCTGCTACTGGAGACCAATAGCACAATCCAATCCACTCCCCCCAGCCAGTGACAACCAAAACTGTCTGCAGACCTTGCCAACGTGGGCAAAAGTGCCACTGGTTGAGTTTCTACCCTGTGCCATGTGGAAATTTCTACAAGTCTTTGAGCCCGTTTCTGGCTATGGCCTGTCCTCACACTTGGTCTTAGTCAAAAGGCTGAGAGCAATGATTGGGTCTGTCTGCACACTTTTCCCTTTCTGTTGTGTTTTCTACCCCTGCTCTTGGCCCTGTGATCCTGTTCTTGAATCACCCTGTTGTACTGTCTGTCTACCTGCCTCTCAGCAGGGAGTTCTGGGAGGGCAGTGGCCATATTTATCTTACTCAAATCTTCAAAGCCTAGTACCCTGCCTGGTACACAGACACACACCCCCCCCCTTTCTATTTATTTAGTGAATGAATGAATCACCCTTGGTTTCTGGATTAATAAACTAGCCTTCTAGAATGGCACTCTGAGACCAACCACATTGCATCCTGAGAAATCACTCTTCACTGTGACCACAAGCCACTCTGAGACTTGAGTGAGCTCTGGGGCCACTAACTCAGTCAGGGACAGTCTGCCATAGAAGTTATAAGCCTGAGGCCCACTCTGTCCCCAGAGTACTCCTGCCTCCCAAAAGAAGAACTGAGCTGATGTGATTATTTCAAAAGTCGTGACCAAGGTCAGTGCAGCTCAGAGTCTGTCTGTGCTTCTTCGTTGCCTTCATAATGAAGTTCAAACTCCTCAGTGTACATTCGAGGTCCTTCACACCTGGCCTTGCCCTGCCAGCCACACTGCTCTCCCTTCTCGAGTCACTTCCCTTCCATGACCATGCCCTGAACTACTGGGGTTCTCTGAAGGCTCCATGACTGCACCTCCATTTCTGCACTGGGAACAGCCTGCTGGGGTTGGGGGACCCTGCTCAATCAAAGACTTCCCTTCTGGAGAGTCTCCTGCCCCTCCCTGTCCCACGGCCATGTGCACTTCTTCCCTGAGGAGACACTTTCCCAGCTTCCCTGGGAGCCACAAGTAACTCACAGCTGCATCCTCAGAACATGCTCCAAACCTGCCACAGGGTGTATCTCAATACTGTACTTGTTTGCTGGATGCCATGTGCTCTTGCCATCCATTCTCCAGTCCACTCCCCAGCCCCATGCAAGTTTTGTTTGATGGCCTATATTGGTCCCAGAGAGCAGCTTCAAGCCCAGCTCTAATGTTGTAGCTGGGTTTGGACTGAAGCTAATGCGGAGAGGGGTAGAGCACAGAGAGAACACAAGCCCTGGGTGACTGAGCAGAGCATCTGGATCAATCCTTGCCTAAAGACAGTCCTTCTGGATATTTCATTTTCTTAAAGTCATTAAATTCCCCTTACTAGTTGAATGGAGCTTACTATCACCTGCAACTCAGAGTAGCAGTAAAAAATGAATAAATTAAAAAATGTGTACATGGCCCTTAAAACCCTGTAAACCCAGCTGAGAACTGTGGGTATGCATTTAATTCCTCTTACCTTCCTGTTTCTGGAGAAAAAGAGTATACCTTTTTCCAAAGCTACTATTTTCCTCTCCTTCTCCAGAAACTGATCTCATTAATTTTCTCACATCCTCTCTTATGTCTTTGATCTTTCCTATCCAGGGATTTCCTCCTCCTTACCTTCAGATATTCTCAGGTCTTGCCAACCCTAAAAGCTCTCTGGGCCAGGCATGGTGGCTCACACCTATAATCCCAGCAACTGGGAGGCAAAGATAGGAGAATCACAGTTTGAGGCCATCCCAGGCCTATCTCAAAAACAAATGGTATGGTGGCACACTCCTGTGGTCTCAGTTACTCAGGCAGAAGTAGGAGGATTGTGGTCTGATGCTGACCCAGGTAAAAGCATCTGACTTTGGAAAGAAAACTACAGGCAAAAGGAGTGGTGAATGGCTCAAGTAGTAAGGTGTTTGCCTACCAACTATAAGGCCCTGAGTTCAAAACTCATACTGAAAAAAAAAAAGCTCCCTGAGCCCCTCATGAATCTAAAGGTCAGCTCCGGCAACTGCTTCCTCTCCTCTAGGTCCTCCAAAGGCTGCTTCCTCTCCTACCATGCACAGCCTGTACCCAAGGAACATTCCTTACCAGATGGGCCTTCCCACAGAGCTTGGCACCCTGCTTTTGCTGTGAGTTCTGGGTGAGATGTGGGTTCAGATATCAGGACTTCAAGACTGGCCACCTGAGTTCTTGGGGCTCAGGGCCCCCTCCAGCCTGAAGCTCCCCTGTTTGGGAGGTATAACTGCCACCCCCAATCAGGTTCTGGACATCAATTCTGTTTCAGCTGCCCCTGGTCCTGTCAATCAGGTACAGCCTCTTTGAGACCCACAGAGCATCAAAGAGCCAAGGGGGCTGGGAGGATCCCTGGGGAGTCTGGAGGCTTACAGTGGGAAATAGAGCACCAAGGAATGTTCCTTGGGTACAGGCTGTGCATGGCAGGAGAGGAAGCAGCCTTTGGAGGACCTGGAGGAGAGGAAGCAGTTGCTGGAGCTGACCTATAGATTCATGAAGGGCTCGGGGAGGTGACAGGAGAGGGGTGGCCAGTGCTCCAGCCCCTTGGATGAGACAGGCAGGGGCCACTCTTTTGGAAATTTTGAAAGCTGTTTTCTGGCTTTTGCCTTTTTTCTGAGCATGTTTCTGCTGCCTCTGCAGATTAAGTCAGATTTCTGCAAAAGAAGGCCAGAAGAATGGCTATGGCAAAACCTTCAACCATGAGAAAAAAGGTATCTTTCTCCAATCCAGATCTGTAAAGCAGAGCCAAAAAAGCAAAGGGAGGGAATCCCAAGGATGGTCAAAGCCAGAGGTCCAGCAGCCCTCTCTGCCTGGAGTTTCTAGTCAAAGGAAAGGAAGGGGGATGCTCAAGTGGAAAGGAGGCAGGGAATAAGTGGAAAGTCCTGGAGAGAAGAGGGGTCAGAAGATGCTGGCAGTTAAGCATGCCAGACACTGTACTTCAAAGATACCCCATATACATGCAACATCCTGGTTGCTTCTGCCTCCAAAAGGCTGTACCAGAAATGCACACACTCCACCCACACCCCCATCTACCCAGACACACTTCTTGCACAGCCACCCTGACTCAGGTACTGTAGACACTCACACCAACAGTGCTCTCGTTTAGTCTTCTTTATACTGAAATACATACAAGCTAATCCAAAAAGGAGTTGGGTTGGGGGGGGGGCGGAGATGATAAAAGTGGGGTGATCCCAGGGCTCCATGTCAGCAACTCTTAGAGCATGTTCCAGTCCCTCTGTCCACCCATTCGGCAGGACTGTCAAGTCTGGAGGAGCCCAGCTAAGCTTGGCAGAGGAGCAGGCCAGTCCTGGGCCAGAAGGGCAGCCCATGTCCCTTTCTCCAGCGCAGGAGGGTCCTCAGCTGAAAGGTTTCACCAGCTTCATGGCAGCATAATTCTGGAGGAAGAGAAGAGGCAGACATGTGGTAACCCTTTTAAGGCAAGCACAGCCCAAGTAACTGTCTGGTGCTAGGAGACTCCTGGCTTTTCCACCACCTGCCAGGACCCAGACCTTCACCCCTACCATCTCACCTCATGCTAGTCTCAACATTCTACCTAAGTGCTCCTGCTAATGAGGCGAACCCATACCCTCTGCACACCACTCACACCCACCCAGCTGGTGGCCATAGTGCCTGGATTTCTCTGTCTTCCCTCTCATAATCCAGGGTCCACTCCCTGTTCAACTAGCTGCCAAAAGGGCTCTGATCACCAAGGGCATGGCCAAGGGGAGCTTTATATGGCCTCTTCCTGGTGCTAGAGGCAAGGCTATGATTCCCATAGCACCCACTCCTACACCCATACACAGGAACCCAGGGCTCATGGATCGCCATGCTCCTGTCCAGAAAGAGAGTTGGGGTGTCAGTGAACAGAAATGACCAGCAACCCAGGCCAGCATCAGAGAGGGGTCACTCATGGTTAAGCCCTGCCAGCTGCAGGACTGACAAGAGCTTCCCCTCCTCTCTGCTCCCTCCAAAACACCATGAAAACGTACACAACACAACACAAGGCTCCTAATTGGGACAGCATGTTCCCCAGCGCCGGCCCAGGGAAGCCAACCCTGGAAACAAAGCCAGCCTTCCTTCCCCGCCAAATCGCCTCCTGCCTTCCCATGCTGGCCCTGCTCCCAACTGGCACAGAGGGGGAGCAGAGAAGAATCAGACAGGCTGCCCCCTGTCATCCCCCTCCCAGGGGAATTTCCAAGAGGATGGGGGATCAGGTTAACTGGAGGAGAGTAGCTCAACCTTGGGTTCTTCTGCACTGGGCCTGGCTTAGGGCACCAGAATAGCCCCCTCTGCCACCTAGCCTGAAAGCCAGGTGAGGGGATTGGCCCAGCCCTCAAGGTATGGGACAGGCCAGGTGACTGAGTCATTTGGGTGGAGGGAAGAAAAGAAGCAAAAGCCTTAGGATCTCCCCTCCAAATTCTGGCTCTGGGAGAGGGAAGGCAGAGCCCCTCTCTGAGAGAGGAATATTGCTATTGAGGCTCAGGACACAGGGAAGGGACTCTGAGTAGGATCCCCAAGCATGCTACTCAGCTCCTGACCACAGAGCCTGGGCTAAGGCTGCCCCCAGGAACAAGGAAGTTCCACATGCTGGAAAGGACTAGAAATCTTTCCTTGTTCTCCCCGTCAGACAGCAGGGTCTCCTTCCCCAGCCTGAGGCCAAAGCCTGCCATCCAATGGCCCCACAGGATGGAACCCAGCTGACTGGGGGCTGGACTAAACATAAAACGGTGGTGGTGATGCTGCTTGGGTTATGTCCCTGCTCTCCCCCCAAGGTCTTCAGGAGGAGGATTGGCTTGACCAGCAGCTGCCCAGGGAAGACAAGGCACTGCCCTTACCATAGTCCCAGAGAACTAAAGCTGACCAAGTCCAGCACCCATGCAAATGGGGAGGCCCTTGCCAAAGTCACATAAAAAAGAAATCACAGAGCCTTGTATTCCTGAGTTCAAGTGCAAAGTTCTGTCTTATACAACATGACTCTAGCCTTACTATGCCCAAGGGCAGATTCACCCTCAGCAGACTTGGGGCTTTATTAGGACTCTGTATTCTGAAAGCACCCTGGTGGTACTGCTTCCCCTGGTCTCAGACCACACCTGGGGGAAGTCTTCACCAGTCGTGCTTTCCTAAGCCCCTCCGCCTGAGCTGATGGGATGTTTGTGTATAGTGGTTGTCCTTACTCTCTGTCTTCAATGTCTCTCAGGAGACCAAGAACTCCCCAGGGGCCCAACCCCATCATCTTCCTTATGGCCGCACCACAATTCACTCCAGGATGCATATACCTTCCTAATAAAGTCTCCTCTGTTCACTAAATGGCAGCCAGGTATACTTAGGCGAGAGGAGTTGATCTGAGGCAGGCCAGGAAGGGGTGCAGGGCACCCAGTCCCGACTTAGCAAGCCAGCTGCCCCCTGGGAGCACATGCCAGGCAGAAGTCTAGGCCTCCGCCAGATCCCAGGTCACCTCCAGAGGCCGCTCATATGCCAGGACACTGCACTTGCATGGGCCCTTCCACCAGCCTGTCTCTAATCTTGTGTTTATCTTGTCCTTAAAGAGGCCCCTGAAATTGTACAAACTCCGGGACCTCACAACTGGGATCTCCCATTGGACCAAAGTTAGGTTGACCATAACTCTTCTCGCTGAGTTCAGCAAATGTGGAGCTGGGGACACAGAAGCTGTGGCTGGGGTGGCCCTGGCCGCTTTGGTGAACTCTTTGCCAAGTGTCAGCTGGCTTCTTACCAAATGAAAGAGACCCCAAATGTGCACTGTGATAATGAGGGCTCCTTGGCCAACCTCATGCTCATCCCCACATTTCCCAGGCCCACCCCACTACAGGAGGCAGAACACACTGTATCAAGGACCTCAGGGCACACTGGGACCCTCTCCTGGACTTAGCAAGTGCCGTCCCTAAAAGAGAGGGGCTGTCACCTCTACTCTACCATTCACCTCTTCCCTTCACTTCCAGATCCAGTCCCACACCCAAGGGGCATCATCTTCTGTCCAACCCCTTGAATGCACATCCCAGGGAGTTACTGAAGACCGTTAGTATCCACATCAAGGGTGAGATCTATTTCCAACAGTTGACTAAGGGCTCCAAGGGTCAGACTTTGTCTCCCTGCCTGAGGAGGGACTCCAAGAGTACAGACTAGTCTCGTCATCAGACCCATTCTATCTAACCAGACTGGGAAAGCACCTTGAGAACAACGATGGGCTCTCCCATTAGACCAAGAACTCCCGAGTCAGCGTCTGCCTCCCTCAGTGGTTCACTCACCGGGAAGGCATAGACAAAGATGCCCAGGAACAGCAGCAAGATGAAGAGAACAATGAAGAGGATGATGGCGCACCGGAAGCGTCGCCACAGGATGAATTTCATGGTCTTGTACGGAGAGGTGAACCATAGGAAGGAGGTGTCAGGGCGCCTGGAAGCAACACTCCGGAGATCAGCACGTCTCCCTCCAAACCCTGGTCTCAACTTGTAGCAGCAGGTTGCATAGCCCTGGCCCTCCACTGTGTGCCCCCAGGACCCACCCAGCCTCCTGACCCCAAGCCCTTGCCTGCATCACCTCTGCTGGGTGCCACCCACCCACCTACCTCCTGTTCTTGGTACCAATGAGTCCTGTTCCTAGCCATCCTCCCCAGGATCCTTTCCCCAAAGCTTCTCCCCTCCTGACTCAGGACTTAATCACAGCCACACACTCAGGAGCTGGGCAGAGCCTTGAGGCTGCCATGTTAGATGAGCAATAATGTCCTGGACCCCAGATAAGCCAAGCCACCTTCCCAGATGGACATGGCTGGGCCATCCTCAGGGAGGATGGCAGGAAGAGAACCCAGAAAACTGATTCTCATTCACACCCAACCAAGAACTTCTAACCCCTCCCCTCAGTCAGCCCCACAACTCAAAGAACATGCAGACTTTGTGTCTCAATCAAAGCTGTGTTGACATCTGATTGCATGCCCAGAGTTTTGTAGCTGTGACTTCCTCTTCTCTCTCCACTAGATCCCAACATCTTAGGGCAAAGGCACCTCTTGCTTCTCTGCCAGCCCCATGGCACATGGACAGCACCCTGATAAAGCAAACTGTCTGTGTTTAGCATGCCTTGGCAGGAGATGTGGGGTGGGAGAGGTGCCAAACACAGTCCTGAGTCCCCAAAGTGTCTTTTCATAACTGCCCCAGGACTGACCTTCAAGGTGTCTACATCCACTAACTTAGTCTATCTCATAAGAGATCTGTGATATCAGGAAAACAGGGACTGGTCTCCCATTTCACAGATGGGAAATCAAGTTTGAAAAGTCATCTGAAAGCCATGACACTGCCATGGAGAGCCACAAAGGCTACTTGGTGAGCAGGAAGATCTTGATCAGACCCCAGAGCAGGTGAGAGAATTTCAGCTTCCCTCCTTTCTTAGTTGGAGTGACTTTATTTAACTTACTGTGATTGCCTCATCATCTTTAAAATGGGGATAATAACTACCCTGCAGGAAATGTTCCCAAGTAGAATGTATACATGCCATATGACAGCATGTGTGGCACAAACTCAACAGGCATCCAATCGTGCTGACTTCTTGAATTAGCTGAGGAGCCCAGCATTCCCTGAAATGGAGGTGTGTGGACTTGTGACCTGTGCATGGCTGTGCACTAGGGTATCTCCTGCACTGTGCCTACATCCTCTGCTCCCTGGGTGTCAGGTACTAGGAGCTGGATACTAACCTTGGATCCTCCAGCTTAGGATTCATATTGGGCTCATCTCGACCCTGGCCAGCAGGCCGCTCCTCGTGCTCACTCTCTGCAACGATCTCCAAGGTCATTTCCAGCTTACCCTGCAGAGATAGAGCCTGGTGACTGTTCTAATCATAAAAGTAGTGCCTATTCCTAATAACACATTCAGAAACTACAGATCTGTATGAAGAAAGGAGACTATCACCCACCTTCCACAAGTGCTGATAGTATTTTTATGCATCATAGCTAGAAGTGTATGAAATATTAAAGTATATGTAGTTCTAAAGCTAGCTTTTTCACTTAGGAATATATTTCTCTATATAATTATATATTCTTTAGTTTGGTTTTTAATGACCTTAAAACATTCCATGGTTGGTTGGCTATAATTTATTTAGTGAACTACTTATTTTGGTTTATTTAGGTTGCTTCCAACTCTGTGATATTACAAATAATGCTATAAAAACATCCCAGAAGCTAACTTTTTAATTTTATCTGGTTATTTCTTTCGAGGAGAGTTTATAAGTAGGATGACAGAGTCCAAAGGCATAAATATTGTCAAATCTCTCACTGCATGTTACCAAATTGCTTCCCCACACAGTGAAACCACTAACACTCCCAGCAAAAATAAATAAGGAGGTCTGTCTCTCTGCATTTTTACCATCATAAATATCTCTATTTTTCATGCAGCTTTTTTTTATGGCACTGGGGTTTGAACTCAGGGCTTTACACTTGCTATGCTGGTGCTCTTACCATTTGAACCACTCCACCAGCCCTCGTATTTCTACTTTTTAGCGAGAGCACGCAAGGGAGGGCTGAGGATAGGTAAGACACGCAAAAAACTAGATAGCATTTGTTGCCCTCAACGCAGAGAAACTAATGCAGATACTTTAAAGTGACAGAGGCCAATAGGAGAAGGGGACCAGGAACTAGAGAAAAGGTTAGTTCAAGAAGAATTAACTTAGAAGGTAACACACATGTACAGGAAAGCAATACAAGTCAACTCCCTGTATAGCTATCCTTGTCTCAACTAGCAAAAACCTTTGGTCCTTCCTATTATTGCTTATACTCTCCCTTCAACAAAATTACAGATAAGGGCAAAATAGTTTCTACCTGGTAGTGAGGGGTAGGGGGGGAGAGGGAGGGAACGGGGGGAGGGGTTAAGGAAGGGGGGGGAAGGGGGGAGAAATGACCCAAACATTGTATGCACATATGAATAAAAGAAAAAAAAAGTTTGAAAAAGAAAAAAAATCAAATTTAATACACAAAAAACAGATTTAAAAATATTCTTTTACATACCAGAGGGAATAACCCTCTTTCCATGCTTAATGGACATTTGTACTTCTGTGAATTACCTGTTTATGTCCTTTCTTGGTTTTCCTTTGGAGGTGTTAGTACTTTATACAATAAGGATATTTATTTCAAGGATCACTTTAGGGTTGGCTGGCTACCTGATGTTTCTAGGTAAACTGTCAGGGATTAACCTCCCCCCCAGCCAGGTTGCTCTGGGGTGAAGGAAAATCCTCCAGTCACACTCCTGAGCAGCAAAGAGAGAAGAGCTTAGCTGGTATGGTCCCTGAGAGGGTCCTATTCAGATAGGAGAGGTGCGACCTCTGTCCATCCACCAGGAAGCCCAGATCATAGGGGAACTCAAGATTATTGTTAAGGTCAGTTTTTCATTTAAATAGACTTCCCCTGGGATATAAGCCTCTGGGAGAGGAAGGCTGGGATCAGAAGGAAGCAGAACAATGTCTCAGAAAACAAAGAGAGGGAGAAGGGAGGATGGGTGGATGTGCATGTGCCCATGGGATTCCATGGAAGAAGCCGCCCCTGCCCTCCACTGGGCTGGAGGGTGCAGACTTACTGCCAGGATCCTCTTCTCACACTCCTCAGCTACACAGGGCCACCAGCCCTTCACTGTCTTCTGCTCAAAAAGAGACACAAACCGTTCTGGATGGAAAGTGTCATCCAGCTGGTCCAAGGAGCACTTCTCAGCTGTCTTGGCCGGCTTCGGCATGCGGTTGAGATCCAGCTGCAGGGAGCCTGTGACACAGAGGTGTTCTTTGGCCCAGGTTCTCAATCACTGCCAACCTAGGGCTACCCTGGAGTAGGCAGGTTCAAGGAAAACTCACTGTCATCTCTTAGCTTCTATTCACAGCTCAGTCATGGGTCAAATCCCAGAAACTCTTCATCTCCAGCCCACTGCTTCTCATTCCCCATAGACAGTCTCCCTATTCAGGCATCCATGCCACCATACTCACCCTCAACAAAGCTACCAGCCTCTTCTATTAGCCATCTTTCTGTGTACAAATCCATTCCCACTCCCACTGTCTATATACATCTACCCACCTTTTTTTTTTTCTTGGAAATACCCAGGGCATCACACTTTCTAGGCAAGCATGCTACCATTTGAGCCATGTCCCAAGGTTTTCTTTCTTTCTTTCTTTCTTTTTGGCTTTACTTAGTTTTTCAGATAGGCTCTCATGCTTTTTTCCCTAGTCAGCCTCAAGCCACCATCCTCCTATCTCTGCCTCCCAAGTAGTTGGCATTACAGGCATGAGCCTGTGCAAGGGTTTCAGTTTCTCCATATTCTCACCAACACTTGTTATTTTCTGGTTTATTATGATAATGATGGCTGTTTTTTTACTATTGCCATCCCAGTAGGAAGTGGTGTTTCGTGTTTCATCCATCAATCTTTTCTATCTACTTACTTAGTTATCCAAGCAGACATCTTTTTATACTGTTCCATCTACTCTTCCATCATTTCCCTGTAACAACTCCAGCCATTAAGTTAAACCATATGAAAATGCCACTATTTAATTACCTTTGACCAATAAAAAGAGCAATCTCTAGTGATTTTACCTAATCCAATCACAACACATGAAGGGGTCAGTGGGACTGGATGGTAAGTTACTGAAGGGATGAAGTGAGAGAGATAAGTTGAAAAAATGTTTTCTGAGGCCAAATTAAAGTTGAGTATTGTGAAAGGAGATCAGATTTCTTCAACATACAATGCTCAGCTCCTGCAGCTGAACATTGAATCAAATTGTTTCATAGTTTTCTCTGTTTCTATTTATCCACTTATCCAACTTTTTCAGCCTATCTATATCTCTCCATAGCTACCAATTGTCAAGCACCGTATCTATGCACACAGGTAGTTATTATTGCATCAAGCCATTTGTTCAACTCTACATCAGCATTCATTTATTTATCCACCGACTCACACATTCCCCCATCCAGTGCAGATAAGTATTAATTTCACATTTGAAATGTGGTCTCAATATCATATTAATTAAATGTCATAGTATTAAATCACACACATGTACGTGCACATAAACACACACAAATTACCCCAGCAAGATCTATGTAAAAGACCTAGGAAACAGAATTATCTCTGATGGTAAGATTATAGACACTTAACCATTATCTTTAAAATATAAAAAGTAATAACTATTCAAAAGTTATGAGATATGTAATTGGCAAACACGGTATAAGGTAGAAAAGAGAATCTAATGGAGTTAAAAAGTAGTTTTGGGGAGTGCTTTATTTTTACTTTTAAAAACAAAGGTGAGACCATTTATCTTTATTTTGAATACTGTTTTCTCATTCAGTAAAAATGCAAATTTTTTTGCTTTTTGAAGTTAATTTTTTAAAGTCTCATTCCATAAGGATAGATTGATGCCAGCTAGTTGTGGTGGCTAAAGCCTGTAATCTTAGCTAAATGGGAAGCTGAGATTGGGAGAGTCATAGTTTGAGACCAACCTGGGCAAAAAAAAAAAAAAAAAACAAGTTCATCAGACCCCATCTTTACCAATAGCTGGTATGGTGATATGTGTCTGCCATCTCAGCTACGGCAGAAAGCCTAAAATAGGAGGATCACGGTCCAGGCCAAGCCAAGCAAAAAGCAAGATGCTATCTTAAAAATAACCAAACCAGAAAAGCGAGAAGCATGTGTATGCAGTAGAGCACCTGCCTAGCAAGCATGAGACCCTGAGTTCAACCTCCAGTTCCATCTCCCCAAAATGACAGATTGATGCCAAAAAAATTTAAAGTCTATAAATAAAAATATTTCAAAAAATTAAAAGCAAGTGAAAAAAAATTACTTGCAATATACCCTCAATGTATAAAAAACTCTGAAAGCCAGTAATAATATAATAATAATATGAGCAATGAAAGTTGAACATCCCAAAACCATGGACAAAAAAACCCCATTAATAATATGAATAATAGACATATTTTAAGTGCTATAAGTAACAAATCCAAGTAAAAACTTAAATAAGAAATCATGTTGACAATTTTTAAAATGAAACAATGACAGCAAATATTTAGGGAAAATGACACCTTTGTAAAAACAGGGCACAGGTGGAAGTATTGAAAAGTAAAACCTTTCTGAAGGACAACTGGACAAAATGTAAAAGACTCTAAAAAATCTACTTCCTAGAACTAAGGAACGCTATGGGCAACAGGTCCATAGATGCATGCCTAGGGGTATGGCATGCACTGAGAACTGAAGACAGCTCAAATGCCCACCAAGAGAGCATAAGCTAACCACAATGTGTCTTATGGACCATCGGAGAGGCGGTCAGTGTGGTAATGTAGGCAGACATGTAGGTAGACACCTACTGACCAGAAAAGATGCCTTTGAAATAGTAAGTTTTCAAAAAGAATCAGAATATAAAACAGTATCTGTAATATAAACCCATTTATATACTCATAATATTTGTATTATGTCATATATGTATGACATATTTGAAATGCCCATATGAAAGTAAATAAATGTTTGCTATATTTGAAATAATTTATAATATAATACTGTATGCCAAAATGTTCATGGAGGTTATCTCAGGGTGATGAGATTAATGGGGGTAGGAGGAAGAAGTATTGCTTTTATCCTTATTTTTCTAATTTTTCTACAGGAATCCTATACAGAATAAACAAAATAATACAATTCAATTTTGATTCTATTATTTTTACAACTGTCTCTTTTATAATGATTCCTGGAGCAGCCCATCCTCTGTGTGCCATGGCCAGGTTGGGTGGCAGGGTAGGGGGACCTGAAGAGTATCACATGCAATGCAGCCCACCCCTGCCTGGGGCTGTTCCTCAGACCACCCCTGAGAGGCCAAGGGCTCAACAAAGACCAGCCCTATTTTCTGCAATCAAGGGTCACTCAGGAGGGTATCAGTGATCTGTCCAAAGCCACCCTGCTCTCAGGTGGCAGGGTAGAGCTAGAAGCCAGAGCTTCTGACTTCCTGGGCTGCCTTTTTCATAGGTTCATCATTTATTTTTCAATTGTAATAAAATTCATATAACATAAAAAGCACCACTTTGACAATTTTGAAGTTTGCAAATCAGTGGTTTCTAGTATATTCAGAGGCGTGTGGCCATCACCACAATCAAATTCCAGAATGTTTTCATCCCCCCCCCAAAAAAAATCCTGTAGCAGTCCTTCCCCACCTCCAGCCCCTACTAATCTATTCTTCCTTTCTATGGGTTTGCCTAGTGTGGACATTTCATAGGCATGTAGTCATACAATATTTATCCTTCTGTGTCTGGCTTCTTTCACATTGTAGTGTGGGCTGGTATCTCATTTCTTTCCTTGTAACTTATTTTTATTAGCATATATTAATTGTACAAAGTGAGGGGTTCCATTTCCTTACATATGTATAATGTACTTTGATCCTATTCACCCCCTCTATTACTCTTTCTTGTCCCCCTCATTTCTTTTTGTGACTGAATAATATCCCATTGTGTAGACAGCCCATCCAACCCAGCCCACTTCTGTTGATGCCACTTCTGCCAAAGCCCCATCCTGGGGTTCACTAATCAGTCTGACACTGCTCTGAGTCCCATCCTTCACTCAGTGCTGAGGACCCAGGTAGCTCAGTAGAAAGCAGGTAGCTCAGGTAGAAAGCAGGACTGCTCCTACTGCCAGGCTTCCCAAGGGTTCACACAGGCCGAGGAGATTCTGAGATAGTTCCTGATGTGCAGTTCAGAAGTGACAAGAAACGAGGCTCACCCAGAAAGTCATCAAAGGAGAACTTGTCATTGTCCCAGATCTGAAACACCACTCGTGCCGGGATTTTGCTCTCAGTCTTGTCCAGCCTCCAGAAGGCATCCTGACCCAGAGGAGGAACAGAAAAAGGAGTTGGGAAGTGAGGTTAGAAAGGCTTTGGTACACCCAGCCCAGAGGCAGTGGAGCAGGATGACCCTAAGGGTCTTGCCAGAGCCAAGTCCTGGCAGGAAGAATGGGAAGGGCAAATCCCAGGAGGCAGTGTTTATGGTTCACTTCACACGGATGGCTCCACTAAGTCTCCCAACTCTGAAAGTCAAGGTTATCATTCCCATTTGACAGATGATGAACTGAGGCTTGGAGGAGTTACAGGTTTAAGGTTTAACAGCTAATAATAATATTAATATCATACTTCCTATGCACAGCCCTCTTCCACTATGAACTAATTTATCCTTCCAACAACCTATGAGGGAGACAGGATTTTTTCAGCTAAGGAAACCAAAGCAAGTAGCTTGTCCAAGGTCACAAGATAGGAAGTAGCAAGCTGGAACTCAAACCCAAGCAGTCAGGTTCCAGGGTTCTGCTCTCTACCCTAAATGATGTTCTGCACTTGTGATCCTCAGGGAGGTGGTAGGCTGGCTAAGATACCAGGGGTCCGGTCCCCACCCACCCTGGCTGTCACTGGAAGGAACTGAGACACACTGATGTAAGGACCTGGCACTTGAACAGGGACCCCAGCTCCTACCTTACCACCTCACCCACCCCACCACCATCTTCAAGATCCTGTCCAGGGTTAGAAGGAAGGAAGAGAGCTTCTCTCCTGGCCCCTCCTTCATACCAGCTTCTCCTTGGAACCAGGTCATCATCACCTGAGCTATTTCCCTGAGAGGACTCATGAAACAGCTGAGGAATGTGGGACGGGGTTGGTTCGTGGGTCCAGCCACACTCAACCCGAAGGATTGTCACTGGGCTTTCTCATTCACAGTGGCCTGTTCTGTTCTCTCACTGTGGCTTGACCAGAGTGGGTGGCCATATAGGAAACATTCTGACCATCCTGCAGACAGTCTCTCTCCAGAGATAGTTTGTCTGTTTGTCTGTTTGTCTGGTTCTAGATACCCACTAAACTCAGCCTTCTGCCTATACTGTGCTGTGCAGCATTCCTCTATCCCAGCCTCCTCAGCCAGCCACATAGATCCCACCAAGCTCCCTAACCAAAGACCATGACCACTGACTGTGAAGAGGGGGTCACTGTGCACAGCCCCATCCATGGCCTGATTTATGGCCTAGATTGGTGAAGGCACTACAGGTTCCCCACCTGGTCCTGGACCCCTAGCCCTCTGTCTGGTGCCTCCCCCTTTCTAGGCCCAGCCTCACCCCAGACTACTGCAGGTGTCTCCCTTCTTTGCCGAGCTTTTATGGCCAGCTCCAGGCCTGCCTGCAGGGCTGCCAGCAGCCTCCATTCCTCCTGCCCGCCTGGTTTATGGGCTCGGTAATGAGCCAGTGGTTCAAACGGCCCCTGGTGGGAGCAGCTGGGCTGGGGCTCCAGCCTGGGGAATGAGCCCCCCCAGGTCCCAGGCGCTCATTATTCTCCCAGCCTGGGCCCTTTTACTAGCTGTTTATTTGCAGGGTGGGTGCCTGACGCGCAGGCAGACCTGGTGGGTGTGCTGGGCTCCAGGTGGGGAGCCGAGCCGGGACAAGCAGCGGTGGTTCAAAGTAGCTGGATGAAAGGAGACCTTGTACTTTACGACAGTCTCGTCTGGTTAATGGGGTCCCTGGAGGGCCTGCCTGCCAGAGGCCCTGAACCCCACGGCAGAGGGCTGGCTCTAGAACAGGCCCAAGGAGCCCAGTTGGCTGTGCAGCCCATACACTAAGCCATCCCAGACCCGTCTTCCAGCCCAAACCAGCTAATTGCTGCCCCACAGTGGGCATGGCTCCACCTGCCTACCAGGGTTCCTTCTCCCCCAGAGGTGCCCATTGGCTCTCTCACTCTCCTGCTTGCTTCTAGAGCCATGTGGGCTGTTTCTGTGTCTCCCCCTCCTCCTCTGACCTTCTCAACCCTGCACTTAGCCATCCTCTGCCCAGACTTGAGTCAGGAGGAACCTGTTTTCCCCTCTGCCTCAACTGTGCCTCTCCCTCACTCCCTGACATCTCTTCCTCCTCTCCACCCCACTCCCCTTGCAGGCTTCTCCTAGATCTAGCCATCAGCCATGGGGCCTACCAGGCCCTTCCTCCATCCTGAGCCCCTGTCTCCCTCTGGGGCTCCCCCTGGGGGGTCACCAAGTTGCTCCATACTTACCAGGGCCTTCAAGGCAGAGACGAACTCTACCAATGCCAGAATAGAGCCACCTGAATGCTTAACCAGCAACTGGGCCTTAGAACTGCCAGCTAACCTTTCTCTGTACCACCAGTCAGCATTTTATCTCACCCACTCCCGCCCCACCTTTCTCCATAATAGCCACCCCCCTACACCCTGCCTTTCCAATTTGTCTCAAATCGCCTGTCACAGTGCCAGATTCTCCTCTGACTTCACAGAACAAAACAGGAACCTAATCTCTGGCCACTAACTGCCACATCCCCACCCACCTGTCATAGGAAAGGGGTTGTACTGTCTCCCATTTGAGCAGAGCAGCCAATGTGCAGCCTCAGTATCCCTATCCATGCCTAGCTTTTCACATGGTTTGATGAGCCCTGCACCATCTCTCTGCCCTTCCTGCTCTGCTCCCTGGCCTGAGCACAGCAAAGGCGAAGCGGGACTTGTTTGACATGGCACACTCTATGCATCTGCTGTTGTGGAAACAGGCTTGTGATAGACAAATACATGAGCAAAGGCAAACAAGATTAAACCTACAAACAGTCTGGGCTTTCCTTGACTTCACAGAACCCTGTTGCTACATTCTACTTTCTGGCGGGCACTACACAGCAATCCCTGGGTGAAAGGATCTATTTAACCTTGCTTAATCCTTACTTTCTTTTGTTTGATGATTTCAAATGATGCCAGTGGAACATTTTGGTATCTCTAAAGTCCAGACACTCCTGTGTGTTGGGTTGGGAAGGATCAGGCAGAGAGGAAGCAATGAAGAGAATTAAGAATGGTGAGGTGGCCAAACATATGTATTTCCCTGTGTGAAGCCACACAGTCAATCAGAAGAGAAAGAAGAGCCAGAGGCTTCCAGGCTTGAAGCCTTGAACCATCTCTGGATGAATGTTAGATGAGCAGGACCTAAACACAGAGAGGCATTTGCCCCTCCAATAGGAGAGCACCTGCAGAGGTGAATGCCAGGAGGGACAAGCATGGTTAGAAGCTATAACAGGCCCTCTGCCTCCTGCCAGCCTGGCCCAGAGCCCTGCACTGCTCACAGCAACCCCTTCAGTGCAATCTCGTGGCTGCTCCCTAAGGGCAGGCCTGGTGCAGCCAGCAGGAGATAACTGCCCTTGGATTCTGCCTATTTCAAAGATGAAAAGATTAAAGCGCAGATAAGACCTAAGCTAAAAGATGCTGAGACACAAAGACTGAGATCCCCAAATCCACTTGTCCTTGCTGGCTGGTGCTCACTATCTCCCCAGGAACTTCAAACCAGATAAGAGGTAAAAGGTGGATAGAGACGGGCAATGCTTCAGGCCTCAAAGAGTAGAGTCTCACCTAATGACTGTCCAGCTTGGACAGTAACCACAAGCACAATTGTGAGAGTTGAGGTACCAGAAGAACTTAGCTAACCCACTCCCAGTCCTATGGACAACCCAATCACAGGCCAGGCCAACACTTTCAGGAAGTTCCCCAGCAGGTCCACCCCTTTGCCCCTTTAATGCCATGTTGGGTTTCCGTACTTCTCCTCCTCTCGTCCCAGGACCCTTTCTGCTGCTTACTTCGTCTGGGGTAGGGAGGATGCAGTCGTTGTAAGATTTAGATTCAGTTAGGAATGGTGAATGTGGCACCATATGGTTGTATGGTGGTCATGGGTGGCCATGACACTGGTGATGGCAATGATGGTGGAAGAGGAATAAGAAGAGGGGAGTGGAGATGATGGTCACAGCTTTGCAAATAATGAGAGCAGGGGTGGGAGCTGTGATAGTGTCAACAAGGATAAGCCACTGCTAGCAGTGACACAGGCAGTGAGGGGACAGTGGGGTGCAGGGGCTCGTTGGCAGTGCAAAGTCTCAGGACCAAAGCATTAGAACTGGTAGGGACACTCACCTTCTTGGCAACAGAGCAGACTTGCTCGGCTGGCAGGTAGTCGAAGGGGAATACAAACCTCCAGTTGAAGTTGCCCTCGCCACCCAGGGAGCGGTAGTGTACATCTGTCTTCTGCTTATGTTCTTCAAAGCCCACCATCCAGCTAGACACACATGTTAGAGGACATTTCTCATTAGATTTCCACAATGATGTAATCCTCCACTTGAGCCAAAGGTAAATGAACTCGGTAAATGATATTGTAAATGGACTTCCCAGGAACTCTCCATAACGTACAAAATGTGCCATACATTGGAAAACACTCTTAACTTCTCAGTCACTCGCCAGGACACCCTCCTCAATCATTGCCATTTTGGCCCAAAGAAGAGGAAAGTTCGGAAGAGGAAATCTGGTGAGAGGATGATTCCCCAAAAGCAGAGACCACCCTGTGAGACTCTCGTTGGAAGCTTCCTGTTCTCCCTTTCCCCACATCAGAGCTGTGAGCTGGCACATTTACCCTTTCACGTAAATGTCACTCATCTTTTCCCCTGTGAGGCTGAGGTCATCCAGGATCACATCTTTGGTGTTCCAGATAATACAACGCAGGAAAAACCTGGGGGAAAGAAGAACAACTCAAATCTGCATACATTTCCCACCAAAGAGTGGGATGTCCTCATCTGAGCAGCCGGCTAGTCCAAGAAGACCTGCTGCCCACCTGGCTGGACACTTGGCCAGACCCAAACAAGAGCTGTATTCTGAGGCCCAAATGGCCCAAAGCCTGGTCAATGGGTGATCTCCTAGCCCCACCCACAACTGGCTGTGACCCTCCCACATCCAGCTTAGCTAGAGCCTGTGGCTGGGCCAGTCACCTTCTGGCTCTCCGGGGAGTGATGTTGAAGGGAGGTCCAGGCCGCCCGAGGGCCTTTGGAAACAAGTCGATCCACATCTGCAGCTTCCCCTGCAGAGAGACATGAGCCCATTCTCTCACCACCCTTCCATTCAGCCCACAGTTACCACATGCCTGCTCTGTGCCAGACACCTGGGGAGCAGGCCAGAGGAAACCCAGGCTTGCCAGGAAGAGGCTTGCCACCCTGCAGGGCAGGGATCCTAACCAGGGGACTGCAGGGCTGACAATGGAGGTAATCGCACTGCCTCATAGGCCACTGATCTGCGCAGGTCCCTCAGAGATGGTGATGTGTGAGCCACACCTCAGTGTGCCTGAGGAATAGCACATGCAAAATCCCAGAGGTCAGAGACCAGAGTCTAGGCATGAGAGCTTCAGAAGATCTCCACACAGGAGTCACTCTACCTGCCTCTCCCCTTCTGCAAGAGTGTCTCAGGCTTATGGAGCAGGAATTGAAGTAACTTGGCTAAGTCACTCCTGCAGGGCCCCAGAGCTGGAGGATGAAGGAGCTAAGGTTTAATACCTATGCTGCTTTGGGAGGCTGGGAACTTTGCCACCTGGTGGAGAGAGTTTGCTGCACAAAAAGGCATCTTCAGGGCTCACCTTGGCCCTTCCCTTTGCCTGCAACATTTCTCCACTTCTCGGCCTCCAGAGCCCAGTTCTGAGCTATCCCCTCCTGCCAGTCTCCAGCCTACTGTGTGGCTCACCCTCCCTCTGCATGGCGGGTCTCCTTGCCCTTCTGTTGAGTGCTCTCTGCAAATCTATCTGCCACTTCATCATGGGGTACTGGGTCCCTTCTCTGAATGGCCCACTGTAGCCCAGCACAGGGTGGGGCATCTGAGATGGAGTTCCGGATGGATGGCAAGTGCGGGGAGATATCCCAAGGCCTAGGTGAGACAATGAGCCTTTAGAAGACAGACGTCACAGCCTACTGCTTGGCCTGTTCCCCCACACTGAAGACTAGAGGTGGGGAGAGATGCCAGGCCCCGAGCGCTCTCATAGGTCAACTGCGAAGAAATGGGTCAAGGAGAGACTGGCCAAATCCCTAGAGGGTCCTCTGGATGTTTGTGCTGCCTTTGGAGTAGAGCTCTCTGGAGTTCAAGGACTCCAGGGCCAGGGTTCAAGGTCCCACCTGCTCGATGTCTGGCTGCAGAGGGCTGTAGAGGGGCCGTGACTCCACATGCTCAGGCACCAGGCCTTGCTGCTGAAGGACATACAGAGCCAGACGTTCCTCCACTGGGCCCAGGTGTGGGTTCGGGATCCTGCCAGCCTCTGCCCACAGAGAGGACAAGAAGTTGCCACACGCATGAGAAATGGCAGGGCTGCCCTGTGGGCAGATTAAGTGAGATTTCCTGAGAGCCACAGCCCCCCTAACCAAGCACCTCCACAGCCTCACCCCAAACTCAGACATACTTGTTCTGGTCCTGTGTCTCACTTTCTGTAAAAGAAACCTTACTAACCACCAGCTCCAGACCTAAAATCCAGATTCTCCATTGCCATCATTTCTACCAAACCTCTTCTGGAAAATTATTCCTGTTCTCCACCAAAACAAATCCTCCTTGTCTGCCAAAGTCCACCCCTTCCAAGAAGTCTTCCCTCTGAGCCTCATCAACCTATACCTGCAGATCTGGCAGCTTAGTGCTGTTAGTCTACGCACATGTTCACAAAAGTCATTTTATTAGCACTAGTTACAAGAGCAGCAGTAACAGCAAACACTTCCACAAGGGAACCACGTGTCAGGCACTGCTATTCATAAATATTAGCATATCATCCTTAAAGACCCTGAAAGCTAAGTGTTGCTGTTATCCCCTCACAGATGTGAAACCTGAAGCATGGTGAAGTACCACACCTGGGGTACGAAAGGTGATAGCCCACCTCTTCTCCCCACCTCGAATTTCTCAAGTGCAGCTGCCGTCTGCCAGGGGTTTAGGATGGGGATTGGTGCCATGGATGGGGGAGAAGCCTGGTCTACCAGCCAGCAACAGAAACATGGAGCCCTCTGTGTTGGGGACCTTAACTGGTCAAGTAATGGTGGTCTGCATGCATGTAAACATACACAAGTACACACACTAGTGCATGCACTCAGGTGGGCCCAGGTACACCAACACACTTTCTTACACACAAACACATTCACACATAGACTTGCCCTGCCACCTTGAGAGGGACCCCAAAGGAAGAGATGTAACACTGCAAGATCAGGAGTGTAGCTCTGCTCCTGTCTGGCTGGTGACTTGGGACATGTCGTTAACTACTCATGGACTCATCTGTTAAATCAGACAGATGCTGGACCTCATGATTTTATGACCATGAGCCCTGGTCCCTGTGCTAAAGTTGCTCACAGAGCAAATTGCCACCGGAGGAAATGAGACTACCTCTGAAACAGATGCATGTTCTACAGGAAAAGAGAATGGGAGTGGGGGTTGCCTCATGGCTGAGCCTGGCTCCTGACCTGGGAGAGTCAGCAAAACAGAAAGAGAAGGTGGGGGGTTTGGGCATGGGGCATCAAAGTCATCAATTCCCTTTTATAACCTCAGCACCAGTTCTAACATCAAACATCTCTGAAACAAGCAGGAGGCAAGGGGCCAGCTGGGCCTGTAAACACCTCAGGGGAGCCTGGGCTGCTCTGGGTGGGCAATGCAGGCCTGTGGGCATTTCAGACACATGGAGAGCATGTGGCAGGATTCTCAGTCACTAATAACTGGCAGGACCAAGGCAGGAGTGGGGCGCTGCAAGGCCTCCAGCCTAACCTTTAGATGCATGGGCTTGGAAGGATATCAAGGTCAAGCTGGCAGGCTAGTACAATTCAGGTAGAAAATGTTCCTCAGAGGTAGATGTACCCCAAAGCCTGACTACAAAGCCAAAAGGAGATTGATCCTAACCCTGACCCTCACCCTGCCTTCAAACTCACCCCCTATCTTGCTTTCAAAAGAGCCTCAACATAGCCTTGGATGGATTTCTGACCCTGGCCCCATTCTGACCCTCAACCTGACCCCACCTGGATCTCTAATTTTCACAGTGCCATCACAGGCATCACACATGCCCTCACCCTCTGGTGTAGGTTATGTCCACATGGGCCTTTACGACAGCACAGGGACTGGCAAGAGAGAAGGAGGGAGAGTCATCTTGGTTTAGGGGACATGTGGCTCACCTATCTCCTCAATGGTGTATTCTTTATCCTGAAATGTCACTCGGTCTGTCTGATACACAGGGGCTTTGACCCTGTGTTGCTGGCAGAAGAGGTGGAGGAGCTGGGAGGGGCGGAGCTGATCCCTCCATTGGTTCGGTCCAGAGCTGAGTTCCAAGTACAAAACAAAGATGAAACACTCCAAGGACACTAACAGGAGCTGGGGACTTGCAGTGACCTGGGTATCTCCTCATGGCATCACCCACCCTTTTCCTTCACAGTTGGCACCCCTTCTGATGACCATCATCCCCATTTTACAGGTGAAGAAACTGAGGTCCAGAGAGAAAAGAACTTACACATGCATGGAAATGGAACTTAGATTCTTCCAAATTCCAGAGAATCAGAGCCAAACAAGACTAGGGATGGTGGGAAGAAGGTGCTTTATATACCTGAATTCCCCTTCATAACTCCCTTCAAGGCCCAGTTAGAGCCCAGGAGTCCCACTATCTACCTTACTTCCTTCTCTCCATTTCCTTCCCTCTTTCTTTCCAGGTGCCCAGCCCTCTGCAGGCTTCCACAGTACATTAGAGTGAACTGAATTATATAACAAGGTGGTAAAGTGCCAGGTCCTTAGAGTCAGACAAATAAGTAAAAATCCTAATCCTACCATCTAAACTATAACAGCTCTAGCCTCAGTTTCCTCATCTGTGAAGTAGGGACAATTTGGTTCCTCACGTTGGGTTCAGGAGAAAATGCCTGAGAAGTGCTAGGTCCAGAGTTGCACACAGCAGTGCTCAGTAGACAGGGGTGATTGGTTTCAGAAAGTAGCCAGCCTTGAGCACATACACACAGTAGGTCTGTGGGAGTCCACAGCGAGCCCCAAACTTGGACAGCAGCCTGTTCTCCAGGTCAATGACTGTCTCCCCAATCTTCTCATCCTTAGAAAGGAGGTCATAGTCATAGAGTGTGATCTTTAGATCCTTTTCCAGAGGTAGAATGCAGGTCAGCTCAAACATCCTGGAAGAGGAGTAGATATCAGGACACAGCCAGCACTCTGATGTTACTGGACCCAGCAGGAGTCAGGGAGGGGCAGTGAGGCAGGGGCTAGAAAGCCATCCCAGGGAAGCCACCCTCCTCCAGTCTCGTCACTCTTAGAGCACAGCACTGCTGTACTAGGCAAGTATGAGTGTGTGTGTGTGTGTGTGTGCGTGTGTGTGTGTGTACATAACAGGTTTTCCCAAATAAACTGGATTAGGCGTATAGCCAGTGCCTGCCTGATAGACCCCAGAAGAAACGAATGAGATGGAACAGAACATTAAAACCAAAGTTTCCAACACAGTACCAGGGGCAAGAGATGTAAAACTGTACAGCCAGGTGCCAGAGCTCTGGAGTTTACCAAGTGGATGGTCCAGGACCTACTGTCTGAACTTGTGGAGCTGTACACTGACTTCTGGGATAGAATGGAAGGAGAGTTTATGAAAATGTTTCTTGGGAGATAGCTCCTGTGGGGTCTGAGCTGCCAGCTACCATGAGGGTCAAGGCGGAGGTGAAATGGGTTCCCAACAGGTGGGAGACCCAAGTTTGCCACCGGATTCATGCTCAAGGTCACTAAAGCAGCAGACAGGAGCAGGCAGGGGCCACACCTGGGAGGAGCTACACTCACATCTGTGGCTGGGCAAGGAATGCACATGTGCCCTTAGAGGAGAGGAGGCCACCTCAAGGCCAGACTGGAGCTGCGCTGAATCCTGCCCCATGGGACCTCACAGGGTTGCAACAGTCAGAAATCATGAAATGAACCATCTGTGGACCAAGGGCTGGAGGGTAGCCAGCTAAAGGGGTACAGCATCTGCTTCATTCCAGGAGGAAGCTGGTAGAGGCTCAGAAAGGTTTCTCAGAGCCTGTGGAAAGCACCCTCAAGAGAATAAACCAGCTAGAAACACCTGTCTTCCAGAGAGCACTTGGATGATGGGGAAGTGGGCATGTGGAATGGACCATTCCCCTAACACCAGCTCCCCGAGTCCTGGCCCTGCAGGCACAGTGGCTAGCCAGAGTGTGAAGAAGGACACACACTGAACAGGGCAATGGAGGCAGGCAGAGCAGGCTTCCACCCACACTCACTCCACACGACTAACCCAAAGGGCTGGTGAGAAAAGGGAAAATGCTCCTAGAGCCATCAGGTTGCTCAGTGTTACACAGGCATGGCCATCCTGGCTTGAGCTCTGAGCCTGAGTTTATTACTTTTATAAAATAACTGAGCTTAAAGTTGGCAGAAAAGCCACCTGCCTGCCATAGTATCTGCTCTGGGAAGGAGGAAGGCCACCCCACAGAATAAATGGGTTTATGGGTACCGGCAGACACCAAGGAAGTTGTTATTTGATCATCTCATAGGCTTCAGAAGGAAAGCATTTCTGCTGTGATCTACAGGAGGAGGCCTAACGTACCAGGCACAGCAACTTTGGGCCAGGATTTGGAGAAGAAAGGAAACAGAAGGGGTGTGTTTCTGCACTCATGCCCCACCTGCCTAGGGGCCTGACATATAAACATTACTATCATGGAACGGGCTCATCACTGATCCATTACCACTAGCCTGTGGCCCTGTGCCAGACACTGGAGATCCTCTTTCCCACTCTCTAACCTTCCCCCAATCCTGGTTTGGTGGTGGCTCACAGCTGGACAACACCGTTTCCCCTTCAAAAATCTGCATCACCTTATGCTGACTGGGTCCTGGCTGGAGGTGGAGTGACCTCAATTAATCAGATGCCAGCATATGAATTCAATTAATTATTTGATTCATTATTTTATTAGAACTCCAGGCCCCTTTACAGGTGCCTGAGAAATAGCTGCCAGCCTTCGTCTCAAAAACCTCACAACCAAACAGCAACTTGGGCCCCCAGGAGCTATGCCCACACCATGGACATTGAGTCTTCTTCCCTTCTTCTTAGATTTCCGACATCATTTCACTATCTTGTGGCCACCTTTTCATAACTATCTACTGCAAATGCACAAGGGACACTAAAACAATAGCTGTTGAATGCAACTCAAACTGGCACTGGATGTGGAGAGTAAAATGACGTTGGTGGAAAACTGATGAAGCCCCAATGAAGTCTAGAGTTTAATTAATACTAATGCACCAATGTCAATGGCCCCATTTTGACAAATATACCATGATTATGTAAGATAATAACAGTGAAAAAAATGGGGTTAAGAGTAGTAGCTTTGTAACTTTTCTGTAAATCTAATATTATTCCAAAAAAGTTCACCTTGGAAAAGAATTCACAACGACCTTCCACGTAATTACCTTATATTTCATGAGATGGTTCTGCCAGGACTCAAGCTTTTGGTGCATTAGGAAGGGCTAGCTGGGGCTACACCACAGACATGCAAGATCTTAGGGAATGCATTCTACTCCAGGACAGCCACATCTGTCCACAGGACTTTGGATTATCTAGACTGGCCCCTTCTCCCCAAGACCAGGCCACTCCCCACTCACTTTCCAAATTCAGGCTCCAGGGTGCAGGGGATGTAGTTATCTTGGTCACTCACCGATTTCTTCCCTATGCATATCTTGATGTAAGGGTCACACTAGAGGAGGATACAGAAACACATGTGAAATCACTTTCCCAAGGTGTCTTTGGAGCTTCCTGAGTCTCCTGCTTCCCAAGGGGGTAAGCTGGCCAGCCATCAGGAAGATGTGATATGGACTGTCTCCAATCAGGCCAGGGCCTCATCCTACACTTGGCCCAACATGGGCTTCCAGCATCAGCCCCAGCAGTAGGAATGGGGTGCTAAAGTCCTGCCCCACTGTCCCACTGGAAAAGATAGCTGGGGTTGTTTCCCTGTCCTCATAACACAAGACTGTATTCCAAATGGAACTAGGCCAAGATTGGGCCCTCTGTGACCTCTGCTTACACAGAAGGAAAGGGTCAGAGGTGGTTACACCTTGTCCACCTAGGCCAATCCAGGCCAGTCTCCTGGATGCTACCCATAAAGCAAAAGCATGTCTTCAGTCATCTTCTCAGAGCAGCTGGGGCCAGTGAGAGACCAAAAAAGAAAGTTTGAAAGATATACACCAGCCCAATGGCCATGTCCTAGAGGCCATCTGTGGTGCCAAGGTTGAGGACTGTTCCATTCTGCCCTGGGATCATGTGACCTCTTGGCCTTCAAAGGCAGGACTATGGGGGTGAGAAGCCAGGACTCTATCCACCACCTCAAGAACACACTCTAGGCCTGAACCCCTCTAAGCAGAAAAGAGAGGACCCCATTCTTGTACTGCTAAACTCTACTTGTCCCCATCCCTGCCTTTTTAGTTTCCTCTGTCTCTTTCCAACTGTCCTCCCATAACTCCCTAAGACTCCAGACTCCTCCCTTCTTTGAATCTCCCTCCTCCATCCCTAGTCAGGTCTACAGTTAGCTGAGTCCCTTGCCTTGGGCACAAAACTTGAGAGCCCCCAAACTCAGTAAAGATAAATAATATTGCAATGCAGTATTTTAAAAATTAAAATTAACACCAATAATCCATGATGAACAAAATATCAAAATTTCAAATAAAGGCAGAATGAGTTTTCCTGGTTTCCCTTTTGCTTCCTGCTCCACATTGCTGGGCATAGCAATCATCAGTACCGTCCTCCCTTCCTTGACTCCTTCCCATCCACCACTGAAAATCTAGCCCCAACCTGATCTTCATCCTCACTTATCCCATTACCATCCCCTGGTTCTACATCTGAGTGAAGCAGTCTTCTTTCAAACATTTGCCTATGCTTTTGATTCCTATTTTTTTCTCCCTCTGAGCCTATCAAAACTCCACCCATTCTTAAGAATCTTATTCCTTCCTGGAAGTTTTCCCCATTTTTCCAAAGTCCTTTACTGACTTCAACCGTCTCTGACCTCCTGGAGAACTTGATCCTTGACAAAACTCCATCTGGCTACATCTCAGTTCCACATGTATTTGTCTGGTTTCCCCAGCTTACTGTGAGCAACCTGGGCAAAGACTATGTCCACATTCCTCATTGGTACCCAGGCCTGCTCTTCTTGGGGTACCAAGGGCTCCAGAAATGTTACCTTCCCATTGGGGTCCTTGGGCTGCAGGCCAAATGCTCGGACAATGTAGATACGGACCAAGCATTCCTGGGGCCCCTGGGTGGCCAGCTGGTGGAACTGTCTTGGGGGCATGGGAATAGCTGGGTCTTCTGGAAGGGGATAAATTTTGAAGAGGCCCTAAAAACATGAGGGGTTAATTTACATTTTTATCATCATCACCAACACCATAACAATAGTACCGTCACTCTCATCTCTACAGGAATCATCACCTTGGAGCTCACCCAGCTCAACACCATCCCATCACCTCCATCAGATTCTGCAAGGGCAGCTTACCTAACACATGGTCACCAACATCAGCACTGTGGTCACCACTGTAGTTACCATCCCTTCCCCTTGTTCACTTATTGCTTTGGGACAAAGACTCACCTTAAACTCTCCAATGACAGATGGATCTTCTGTCTCCTCCTGAGTCTTGCCCCGGTAGAGCTTGAAGGTATTACAAAAATCAGACAGGCCTTCAAAAGCCTCCACCTTCTCCAGTTGTGTATTATAGACCTGTCAAATATGGGAATGAGAAAAAGAGACAAAGGAGAAAGAGAAATTAGAAGGACAGCAAAGGAAGAAGAAACAGGAAAAGTATGGGAAGCATAACAGTGTGAAAGTAGAGAAAAAAGAGAGAGGGACAGAGAAAATGAAAGTGAGCAGAGAAGACCAAAAATAAATAAAGGAACATAGGCAAAAGGAGGGCAGGGTTGGAAAGGTGGAGAGGAAAGAGAAGAGCCAAGAAAGAAAAGAGGAGAGAAAGAAATGAGAACAAATGATGGAAAGAAAACCCAGGAGAAGAGAGCAAGGGGGGAGAGACATTTGCTCAGTGTATTGGGAGCAGGTTTTTTAATTAATCACATTTTCTAGGTACCTGAGAATCATATGCATGAGTGATGCAGATCACAAACAAATGAAGCTACTTTTCCACTTGAAGACTGAGTCAGAACTCTGGTGAATTAACAAGTTAGCATTTTAAGCAAAAATGCCCACTGTACAGATGTCTAATGATGATATATCAAATGAAAAGCCAAAGAGGCCTTTTGAGCACCACTTTAAATTTGTTAACTCTTTTTGTCTCCTCTCAAGTAATTAGCAATTATTATTTGCTAAGACAGTGTTTCAGAACTGCTTAGGCATAAATGATATAGCAATTTTTATCACAGTTGACAAAATACATCCAATTTGTAGTAATATCAAAACAGGTTAGTATGTTAACAGGACATGCTAAATTGTCTCTATCTGAAATTAACAAACAAGTTGCTCAGTTAAGTTTTTATAATAATAAATATTATTTCTCATTTAGGCCCAGTTCAAGTTCTGTTTCTTCCAAGAAATATTTACTATTATGCAAGTAATATGGGATAACTATTAAAAGCTAGAAATTATAAGCAAATATAAAGAAAACATGGACATTGCCTTAGATTCTGATTCTCAAAACTAACTAGCTTTTTGATTAACAATTGGTAATGTGTCCTGTGAAATATTTTCTTAATATATATTTTTTTAAGTTTTGTTTTTTACCAAAATGGAATCTTACAATACAATTGTGTTGAACTTATTTTTTAAACTAACAATATTCCATGAATATTTTATAGGTCAAAAATATGCTTCCTTTTGGTGGTCCTGGGGTTTGAACTAGGGCTTGGTAAGCAAGAGCCCTATCATTTGAGCCATGCCTCCACCCCTTGCTTTAGTTATTTTTCAAGTACTTTTTGCCAGGGCTGGTGGGCTGGCCTCCTACATACAGGCTTGTACCACCATGCCTGGCTTCAAAAACTATACCTCTACAACACCTTTCTTATTAGCAATATAATATTCAGTTGTATAAATGAACCACAAATTATGATGGCCAACTAGTTTTATAACTTTTCAATCTTATTTATTAAAACAATTTATGTATTACAAGAGTTTTAAAAATCCTGACCATGTGCTTTGCCAATTTGTTTGTGATAAGTTCTGAGAACTAGAATTCCTGGTCAAAAGGTACACACTGCACATTTTAAGACTTTAGATGTGTATAAATTACCCTCTAGAAAAACTGCATGGACTTCTTCCATCTCCAGTGTGCAGGTGAATGCATATTCCTGTATTCACCATCACTATGCATTTCTATGCTTTTTAAACTTTGTTAATTTGATAAATGTAATACTGAATTTCAACTTGCATTTGTTTAAATACCAGAGAAATTTGCATGAACCTATCAACCATTTGTGTTTCTTCTTTGTGAATTAACCATCTTTGTCCGTTGCCCATTATCCATCTCCTGGTGTCTGTTTTCTGATCCACAGTGATTTGACAGACCTCTCTGTATGTAAAGGGCATTAACCTTTGGTCTATCAAAAGTGTTACAAATATTTGTCCCAGTTTGTCACTTGCCTTTTAATTATGTTTATGAATATATTTGTCATGTCTTTTGTATGTTAATGTTGTACTTATGATTGCTTATGTTACATTTGTTCATTGTTTTAGCGATACCAGAAATTTCTAGATAGTCTCATCTAAAGATCTTTTTCATTATTACTCTTGTCTTTTAAATTATGCTCAGAATGTCTTCACAACAATATTAAGTGCTCAACTCAATTTGGTACATGGTGTAAGGCAAGAATTCAACTTATTTTACACCAAACGACTAAGCAATGATCTAAGCACCACATTTGCCTAAACCATTTCTCCTTTTCTACAGTAGCTTGAATCACACACTGCTCTCTGGGATCTCTGCTCTGTTGATCTGCATACTTTTCACCAGCACTGTTTTAATTAGTGCTGCTTTATAACCTGTTTTTTTTTAACCTGAGAGCTTTCCAAGTGAAATCTTGAAACATTAAGTCAAGTTCTAAACAAATCTTTCTTTGGGATTCTTGTTAGACTTGCATTAAACTTAAAATTGATGTGGGAGAGAGGAATGGATATCTTTATAGTATTAACTTTTCTATCCAGGAATATGATCTGACACTCAATTTTCTCAAGACTTATTTTATCATTTATAACTATCTTCATATAGATCCCACATATTTATTGTTAACTTTAATCCTAGTTAAGATAATTTTTTGCTGGGCATCAGTGGCTCACGCCTGTAATCCTAGCTACTTAGGAGGCAGAGATCAGGAGGAACGTGGTTCAAAGCCAGCCTGTGCAAATAGTTTGTGAGATCCTATCTTGAAAAACTCATTACAAAAAGGGTTGGTGGAGTGGCTCAAGGTATAGGCCCTATGTTCAAACCCCAGTACCGCAAAAAGAAAAAAAAAAGATAATTTTTTTGTTGTTGATATTGTGAGTGTGAATCTTTTTTCTACTGGATTTTCTGAGTAGTTGCTGCCATCTTACTGGGTTCTCCTGATGGCTCTAATTTTTCAGTTGGTTCTCTTCAGGTGGTTAAGTGAATCAGTTACACACTGATAGTTTTGTCTTCACCTTTCCAAAAATGAATGACCTGTTTCTTTTTGTGAACATGGAAGTGGTCAGAATGCACATAAAAATGTTAAATGATAATGTGAATGTCATAGTGGTGAGTCTTTCCCATCTTTGTCAAGAGAACTCCCTCCTCCCCATGTTTCCCTTGGTATCTTAACCTATACTGAGTCACAGAGCTCTTCAGTAATCCCCAATCAATAAGCTATGGACCCTCTCCCTGAAAAACTGACTATGAACACTCTTGAGAAATGTAGATCCAATGTGGGGTGATAAAAAGACCAGGTGAAGTCATGAAGTTGGATACTGACTAGTAGTCTGAGAGATATTCTTTATAATATAAAGAAATGCCTCTCTATTTCCAATATGTTACTCATTCCTATGAATCATCAATAAATATTGAATTTTACCAAATGATGCTCAGCATCTATTGGGAAGAGTCTTGGTAAATTTTAACTATTCATATAAAGAATATTGTTAATGATTTCTTAATGTTGAACTTTTCATATTCCAAGAATAAAGTCAATTTGGTCATAATGGCTTATTAATACATGGTTAGCTTCTATTTACCATTATTAAGATTTTGCACCTATAATAATTTCAGAAATGAGATTTGTATGTATGGGTGGGCTTTTACCAGATTTTGGTAGTAAGGTAATTCTAGCTCTATAAAAATCAATTTTAGCCAGGCACCAGTAGTTCACTCATGTAATCCTAGCTACTCTGGAGGCAGAGATAAGGAGGATCATGGTTCGAAGCCAGCCTGGGCAAATAGGTCTCAAGACCCTATCTCAAAAATACCCAGCACAAAAAAAGCTGGAAGGGTGGCTCAAGTGGTAAAGCACCTTTCTAGCAAGCATGAAGATCTGAGTTCAAATCCTAGTACCACCAAAAAAAATCTATTTTAACTCTTTTTCTGCTAAGGAATTGTATCTGTTTCACTGGAATTATTCATTCTTTGAAAGTTTAGGAAATTCTCTCCATAATTACCTGGCTACAGCTCTTTCTTTGGAGGTAATTCTTTGATAATTTTTCTGTTCCTTTCACATGTTTCTGTACTTCTTGAGAAGTTCTAATATTTCCCTTTTCCTTTAGATTAGCTCATTTCATGGAGATTTCCGAGTCTATGAGCATGGACATTTACAGCTATTCTTTGGTATCCATGGGGGATCCCTGCAGATATTCAAGTCTATCAACACTCAACTGCCTTCTATAAAATGGTGCAGAATTTGCATGTAACTTATGCACATTCTCCTGTATGTTTTACATCACCTCTAGGTTGTTTGCAATACACAATACAATACAAATGCTGTGTCATGCTGTACTGTTTACAAATAATGGTAAGAAAAAAGGTCTGCACACGTTCAGGACAGACACATTTTTTTCTAGTATTTTCAATCCAAGATTGGTTAAATCTATAGATGCAGAGCCCATAGATACAGAGGGCCGTCCATACCTAGGATTTTCCTAAAATATTCTAATCTCCCAATTATGTTGCTATGTTCCTTTTGCTTTATGGTTTGGGGGTTGATTTTCTCTGCTTTTCTAACTAGATTAGCTGGAGGATTGTTTAATTGACTTGTTTCCATCAAAGGATTAGTTCTTTGATTTTCAATCCTATCATCTTCTTTTCTAATTCCTTATTTATTTTCTTTGTCTTGCTACTTTAAAAGTTTACTACCATTATTATTATTATTACTTATTTCTGGCTTCCTGAGTTGAAGCTCTACTTACTTTACTCTGTCTTTCATAATAATTAAAACTTTTATTCTTATGAAATGTTTTTGCTTACTACTGTCTCAGCGCTGCTGCATTTCTTTTGCCATTTTCTTGGCATTCTATGATTAGTTTTATTTTTATTATTTGATCCCAGAGTTGGATGCATATTTTTCATTCTTTTATAACTAACATATGTTCTTAAGGCTATCAGTGGCCTCTGAATGCTGCTTTAGCTATAATAAGCAAATTTTAATATCTAGTGTTTTATTGTTTCATAGATATTATGCAACTTTGGTTTGTATTTTTTTTTATTCAAAAATTGTTCAAACAGAGGACTAGAGGTATGGCTCAAGCGGTAGAGCACCTGCTTTGCAAGCAGGAAA